AAAGCAGCAAAACCAGGGAGCTGGACAGGGGACAGATTGGATTTGTCTTCAGTGTGGAAGGGATTGTCACTCTCGAATTGGCCTCCTCAGCCACACTAGACGCTGTTCCAAGTCCTCCATACAGAGCACGCTACCATAGTCTTTCGAGACTGAAGGATGCCTAACTAACTAGTGCTGTGGCACTACTCTGGGCAGTTTCTTCTGCCTACAGCTGGAGTTTCTCAATTATACCATAGGTTTTAATCTGTGGTTCTTTTTTTAAAGTAAAGGGATAAGAATTGTTGCTTGTACGCCAAATCATAACAAGGCTATTTCTGTATTTCTGTGACTCATGACTTCCTCCTGCACTGCCTCTAAACTGCTCCTTGCAAAATGAAATGAAATGAAATAAAATTAAAAAATTAAAAATGGGGAATTGTGTTTCCAGGAGCATGATTTTCCCATGAAACCTGTTCACCAACCTTTTCCTTTAAAGCTAGAAATGACAAAAAGATTGATGAAGAAAACTACAGTGGTGCCTCACTTGACGACGATAATCAGTTCCAGCAAAATCGCTGTACAGCGAAATTGTTGTCAAGTGAAAAAAAACCCTTTGAAATGCATTGAAAACCGGTCAGTGCGTTCCAGTGGGGGAAATACCTGATCGTGCAGCGAAGATCCTTTATAGGGCAGCCATTTTGCAGTGCCTGTAAAGCGAAGAATTGGTCCTGAAAACAGCAGGGAGCCATTTTGCAACCTCCCAATCAGCTGTTTCTAATTGTTGTCTGGCAAAGAAACGGTTCCCAAAGCAGGGAACTATTCATCCTCAAGCGAAAAAACTCCATATAAATATCGTTTTGCGATCGCTATAGTGATTGCAAGAAAGGCATCATAAAGCGATTCCGTTGTCAAGTGGGGTAACTCTCTAGTGAGGCGCCACTGTAGTTTGTTTTGGCAATTTAACAGGTGACTTCAAATCTTGTTTTTGAAATTCATATTGAAATAAGCTTACTGTACCTTTATTTCAGTCAACCTTGCTGCATCTTTTGTTACAGATGACTCCACTGATGTTGGGGAAGAAGACAGCTTCCTGGGCCAGATATCTGCCAATCCTAATCCCCCACCAACATTCAGTTATTTCTCCCAGGTTCCTAGCGCTAGTGATCCTTTTGGAAGCATTGGGCAACCACCCTTAGGAGTGACATCTCCATCCCAAACTGGAATGTCTGTTTTCTCTAAGCCTCCAGTATCTCTCGCGCTTCTTCCTGGATCACAAGATGGGCCAAATGTTTTCTCAGCAGCTCCAACCCAGTCGCAGTCTTCTAATACACCACCTACTTCACTACAGGGAATTGGTTCATACCAAACATCCCACCAGAGTGGTGCTCCACCAACTGGCTTTTCAACGCTTCCTCATGGTACACCTCAGCAAGGCTACAATCCGTACCGTCACACTACTTTAAGCAGTAGAGCCAATCCGTACATCACTCCACCACAGCTTCAACAAAGTCATACACCCACTGAGAGTGTGCAGCCTCCACCCTCTGTACCACCCGTGCAGATGTATCCAACTCCTCCAGGGCCATTGCCACCGGTATAGAAACTGTTGAATTTCCTTGAAGGGCTATGTAGTATATTTCTGCTTTAGTGACATGTGGTTCCTTAGCCAAATATGTCTTTTCCTGAATTTTTGACATTTACCAGGTGTTTCCAGAGGAATAAGTTCACATCATCTCCAGACAGTATGACTGGTATATACATTTACAATCTTAACTTCGGGTTGGATCTTGTACCAACTATTCCTGTTAGGTGTGGCAGGATCTGGTCTTTATTATTCCAGAATGCAGGTCACATAATAATGAGCTCATGTTACAGAAAGCTGGATTTCATTTGATTATAAAGAAAAATCTCCTCACTGTTAGAACAGTGCGACAATGAAACCATTTATCTTGGGAGATCGTGAGTGCTCCAACACTAGAGGCATTGAACAGAAAAACAGATGCTTAATTTAGGTTCCTGTACTGAACAGGGAGTTGGACTGGATAGCCTTATAGTCTCCCTCCAACTTCATTATTCTATGAGATGTGTGTGTGTGTAAAAAAAGATAATACTTTATGGAATGTTTGACAATACTTAACCAAAAGAAATAATAGTTCATGGAATATATTTGATAATTAATCAGTGACCCAATTTAAAGATCCGTATAAATTCTTTAAAAAGAGTTTTTTTATTTAATTTGATAGTTCTTGAAAATTAAGCCGAAATGAACTTTGATGCAGGATTCATGTGAGTGTCTGCAGTTCCTAGCGACTTGTGATTGAATGCAATTAGTGGTCAAGTATAGAGGGAGGGATGGGCAAAACTGTGCTAGAACTGTGCTCATTCTAGAAGTTAATTGAAAGCAAGTGTGACAATAATATCCATGACCATTGTTATTTAGAGGGCAAGGAATGTTTTATTTGTAAAAGCATGGAACTGGAATTGGTAAAATTTGAAAAAAGCTATCAAAAATTAGCTGCTTTTATTTTCATTTTTCTTCACTACAGTCAGCACTGTCACCTCAGGCCTCAGTTTCAGCAGGTGCACTGGTAAAGGCGCCACCCATCTTACTACATAACCAATATGAACCAGTTCAGCCTCATTGGTTTTACTGCAAGGAGGTCGAAAACAAGAAGCTGTGGATGCCATTCAGTGTCTTGGATTCTACAGCTCTAGAGGAAATTTATAATTCTGGTAAGATTTAAAATTACTTCTCTATGTTTCTTTAGTGTGACAGGCTTTGAACATCAAAACAGAAACAAACCAGACATCTTGTGATTTACAATCAGAGAGGCAGATCATTTTTACAATTGGTTGGTTTTTTTTATGTTCTCATACAGGGATTCTTTCAGTGGGAACAGTACCCAGCAGTTTCCACATTCAGAGATAAACATGACATTTGCTTCTAAATCCTTGCTTTTGTTTTCACACTTGGCTATTGGTTTCATTTCCTCTGACATCTTTGTGTAGACTAGCAAAGTGGGGTAGGTTTTGGCTGGGGGACCGTAGAACAGACAGAACATGCCCTCCCCCCATGCATGTTAAAGAGAGTTGACTGGCCTAATTTTTAGCATTAAATTTCATTAGATGCAGATAAGTTTCAAAGTAATCCCTGCAGAATAAAAAGATTCAGTAGAAGTTAATTATGTTCTGTGTAATATATCATACACTGTGTCTCAGAAAGTTATACCAAATATTACATCTTTTGAAATGTTTTAGTTTTTTACTACAATGTTTAATGAAGACTTGCATATTAATAACTGCCATTGGGTAAAGACAGTCAAAATAGCTCATGAAATAAATTAGAGTGCTGTTTAGCTTAATATAAGCAAGGAAAATGGTTTCAATTAATATAACAGTTTGCATATTGAATACTTTGTTACACAGGATTTCAGAGAGAAGACAGACTACTTGCCTTTCCTAGTTTTCATGTTATTTTTTCCTGTTTCTTCTTCCTTCTGTTTGGTATCTAAAATGGACCCTTGACTTACAGACTTTTTGAGTCATGTTATTTTTTCCTGTTTCTTCTTCCTTCTGCTTGGTATCTACTGAGCTTTCCTTTCCTATCCCTGGTACTTGTGGTGCTGTCCTTTCCTACAGACTCTACTGTTTAGAGTACTGGTAGCCAATTGAGTTTGATTGGATTTCTTGTCTGTGGCAATACTAGTGTTTTTCACGTACTGTCTGCATTCTGACCATCACCAGTGAACAAAGTGGAACAACTGGGGAAAGAGACATGCAATAGTAAGTTGAGAAATTATTCTGAAATGCCACACTTCCTGATAGCATCTTTGGTTCAGTATCAGAATTGCACTTTTCTGTACAAAACTTGGAGGGAAGGAAATGAGAAGACTTTCCAGTTCTTTCTAATATCCATAGGTTTATCAGAATTGAAAAAGACATTTTGCCAAGGTAACCATTCATTCATTAGGCATCCTTCAGTCTCGAAAGACTATGGTAACGTGTTTTGTATGGAGGACTTGGAACAGCATCTAGTGTGGCTGAGGAGGCCAATTCAAATAACTTTTTATATTTGTAGTGCAACCTGACCCAGAGAGTGTGGTCTTGAGTACTGATGGAGGACGTTATGATGTTTATCTCTATGACCGAGTGAGGAAAGCTGTGTATTGGGAAGAAGAGGAATCTGAAGTGAGACGATGTACTTGGTTTTACAAAGGCGACACAGACAGCAGATTTATTCCTTACACAGAAGATTTCAGTGAAAAGCTGGAGGTAACTCTTCTTGAATTGTAAGAATACCAAAATAACATTGTATGATAAATTATCAACAAACAAGAGTTGAAAAGGTTTAATTTTTATGAAAATATGTTTTATACCCTACTGTGTTCTGATTATCATATGGGGTGAAACCTGATACCCAAGTGTCAAATGCAATAGTGACTATATTTAGTGCTGCCACCATTGTACAGTGGCCAAAATGAATTCCCTGAGTTAAGAACAGTGAAGTTTGCTTTATAAATGCAGACCTGATTAAGTGCTCATATTTCCAGTAAACATCTAGTGTACTTCACTAACCCCATTTGCCATTAACTCTAAATAGAACTCCATGTTATTTCTTTTGACTTGCTGTGCCTCAGAGATCCAGCAGTAGCATCTGACTTCATCTCTCTCAGCTCAGTTTTGCTATCTTTTAAATAAATGTGGCTAGGCAAGAAAGAAATGTTCCAAATAGATACTAAAGACATAAAAAGGCATAATGAATGAAATATCTGAGGAGGAGTACTGTGAAAATAACAATAAAGGAAGTTTGGATAAGATGCTTGTAAAGTAATCTTTGACAGGATGCTTTCATATCTAAAGTTTGACTTAGAAAACTGGTCTACCTTCACAGGCGGAATATAAAAAAGCTGTTACCACAAATCAGTGGCATCGACGGCTGGAATTTCCAGGTGGAGAAACTATTGTTATGCATAATCCTAAGGTAATAAGAGATCCCACTCCAAAGTAGTATCAGATGTTTGGATAGGGGGAATGTAAAACTCAGCATGATGTGTTTACAAGAAAGTTAACTTGTTTAGAACCTAAAAATAGCACTGCTAATTGTGCTCTGCACAAGGAATTGAGTAGGGCAATCGTATTTTTGATCTCAAAGAACTCTTGATCTCAAAGAACTTTCTAAACCTTGTCTTGGGTTGTAACCAGCAGAGTAGAAATTGTGTACACTTTTGTTGTTCTCCTCCCTTCCCAATATTTTCTTTTTCTTCCTTTTTAAACTGAAGAGGAGGACCTCTTGCTCCTAAGCTCGATATAGCCTGCCAGGTGGCCTACAGGGACTTGAATGGAACTCCTTCCTCTCCCCAAAGCCCTGAATTTGGGAAATAGCAGAGGAGCAAAGTTAGTGTGGGACTCAGACAATGCCTGGAGGAACTACTTCACCAGACATCAGCCAGGCTGTCTTTGCCCTTCACACCACTCAGCAGCTCCTCCATGTGTAAACTGAGTCTCTTGGCCTGCTGCTTCCTGTCCTTTTCGGGGGGGGGGGAGGAGATTAGTAAGGTCTTTTGGATCAGAGTTATTATGGTCATTGAAATTTTCTTTGCCAATCATGTGTAGAGCAACTGCCTATATTTTTTACATGGAAGCAAGTTCTGTTATATTTTCTGGAACTTATTCCAAGTAAGCCTGCATAGGCTTGCAACTATAGATGGGGGTATTCGAATATGAATATCCCCATGCAGCTGGACTTAATGAGGGGCTGGCCCCTGGGGCTGGACCGTCCACTCAAGCATCCTGTGACGGCTTGGCTCATCCTTCCAATTGCACTTGGAGCGCTGCTTGTGCCCGCTTGGCTGGCCACTCCAGACAGGGGTAGAAAGGATGAGTCTCCCTGCACGGCTGCTGAGTGGCTAGATGAGCGGAAAGAGAGCGGAACTCTGGGGGCGACTGGAAGGATGAGTGGGGCTGCTGCTGCTGCAGGCTGCATGAGTGGACCATCCAGCCATTATTAAGTCCAGCTGCTGGGGATATTCGTTTATGAATACCCCATCTGTACTTGCAACCTTAGTCAATTTCTCTTAATACATATTAGTTTATAGTGCAATGTGCAGCTCACAGATTACATGCCTTCCTCTCACACATTTTTGTGCTTTCTGGCCCCACAATATCATGCCATACTTTTTTTCTTTTTTGCACAAAAATAGGAAATTTCTGCTCCTGGAAGCCTCCACAGTTCCCTGTGTCTTATTTTGCACACCCTGCTACAGGTGTTGCAAAACTAGAGGGAGAATCTGCATTTTCTGAGTGACTCTACTTTCATCCACCAGTTTGCCCTGGGGACACAAAAGTGGCCTTTGTAATTTGTCTGCCCTGTTACAATGTAATTGCTCTTGTGTAACTTTAAATTAAAATGAATCTAAAAATGGTGTGGTATCCATGTTGTCTTTGAAGGTTATAGTTCAATTCCAACCTTCTGCAATACCAGATGAATGGGGTACCACACAAGATGGTCAGACAAGACCAAGAGTGGTAAAACGAGGGATCGATGATGATCATGAGGAAATTCCTGATGGTAGGTGCATTGGAGTTTGGGACAAAGGACTAGGTTGCCTATTCATTTAATACTTTGATTTGCCTTCATTGATGCATGTGCTCTTAAGTAATCCTAAGGATTGTGGGAGGAAAGGTATTAAAGTGTCTACCAGGTATTGACATGAAAGGCAGAGTGTGGGATACTGTTCACTTCAGCTTTATATACAAAACCAAAATTGTAATGTAGCTCAGTCTCATTGACTCATGAACCTCCTGTTGTTCAGACTACTATGGATTCAAACTTGTTCCCAAGTCCCAAAGTGGGGAGTAGTTAATTCACCCTCATCTACTGTCCATTAATAGGTTAGATCTTACTTGTGTCCCCACTGCTGTGCTTGACCGTGATATGCAAGCCAACTGTCCCTGAGTGGCAAGCAGCCATTGGAGGTGTGCAAATTGCTTCTGCATTCTCCACCTCTGTAGTAGTGTCGGAGTGGGGGTCTTTGGTTTGGAGTCATCTGGACATTGATTGTGCCATGATTGTGCTATGGTCTTCTAAAGCAGGGGTCCCCAAACTTTTCACCCCATAAACTGGCTGGAAAAGGCGGGGAACCCCCGCACTCGTCCGCATGCACAAATGAGCATGCTCTCTCACTCGTGAACGGTGGTGCGGCTTGTGCGGGAACACGCATGCTTGTGTGTATGTGCAAACGGTAAGGTGGACCTGAGGAGAACATCCTGGGGGTGACTGGTGTGGAAAGCATGGGGGTTGGTCTGACATTGCACCCTTCTATGATCCCTTCACAATTGGCTGTGAAGCCTTGGCTTGATCATCTTATAGTCAGTACAGCAGAATTTGATCTCTTTATTATTGTTCTGGATGTGAGCATCCTGATAAGTCTTTTGTCTTTTTTTTGCAGTGTATTTCTTGCTCTGTTTATTTCGGTCAAGTATGTGTGCTCCTTTTCAGTCCCATAGGGCCATCAAAGCAGGTACAAAGAAGGCAATAAAAATTCAAGAAAATGATAGGCAAACATACATTTATATATATGGATACAATTCGTAAATGTTTAGGTAAAAATGCATCATTTTCCCAAACAATTTCTTTTGTGAATTTCATGGACATTGCTGCTATTTATTTATAGGTGAAGTATCTCAAATTGACCATTTAGTATTCATGGTGCATGGGATTGGCCCTGTCTGTGATCTACGGTTCAGAAGTATTGTTGAATGTGGTAAGTTTTTAAACCTGTGTATGTTTAAGTCCAGGTATACTCACCATAGGTAGAGGATTGTATATCCTCAGCTTACAGTTTCACTGCTGTCCTGCTTGTGAAAACCAGTCAGTATGAAGAAGCAGAACTCTGCTGCTCTTCATGTGAATCAGGGATCTAAAATATCAAGATCTTGAATCTGAGTGTTTTCAAGGAGAGTGGAGAATCTTTGCTTCACAGTTGTTGCTTTCTATGTGCAGGAGGCTGTCACAGCTGGAAACATAGGAAGTGAAACTTTAGTGCTCTCCTCTACCAACTGCTAATGTCAACAGATGCTTAATATAGCACTTTTCAACTACTTGAAAGGCTTTAATGCAGAGGAGGGGCAGGATTTGTTCTCAATCAACCCAGAGGGCAGGGCACACAACAATAGGCTCAAGTTACAGGAAGCCAGATTTCAGTTGTATTTCAGGAAAAACTTCCTAACTGTTAGAGCAGTACAGCTATAGAACCAGTTACCTCAAGAGATGGTGAGTGCTCCAACACTGGAGGCATTCAAGATAAATTTAGACAGCCATCTTGCAGATATCCTTTGATCTGTATTCCTGCATTGAGCGGGGAGTTGGACTTCATGAGCTTTATAGGCAACTTCCAACTTTATGATTCTATCTCAGTAGAAAAAGAGTGTAGAATTGATGTATTTGTGAAGGCTTTCACGGTCGGGATCTAATGGTTGTTGTGGGTTTTTCGGGCTCTTTGGCCATGTTCTGAAGGTCTCCCAAGCACAGAGTGCTGTCCTCTGAAGATGCCGGCCACAGAGACTGGCAAAACGTTAGGAAGAACAACCTTCAGAACATGGCCAAAGAGCCTGAAAAACCCACAACAACCAGTGTAGAATTAAGTTTGATGAAATTTGTACATAGGAGCCTGGCATTGAATTAGAGTACAAAATTAATTTTGTTGAAATCAAATAGATAGAAGCCATGACTCCTCCAATAGTGAGGAAATGAGGAGAATAGGATGGTCATGACAAATTGCTACAAGGTACTTTCAATGAGTTTCTGATGTTTTGGATGGGGGCACTTCATGCAGTTTTAAGACTGAGCTATCATTGAATAAATGGCAAGCTTCAATTCTCTCTAGTTATTAGCTTAACATTTCCTGTTTCATATTTTAGTGCTTTTACAGATCCATGTAGTTCTGTATAGTATATGGTTTGGAAAGCATTGGTTAAACCAGTAAGGCTTTGGCCTTGTAGAATAGTATGGAGAAATGTAGTTGAATACACATAATATTATATACTTGTTCTGCTAACCTTAACCTCTGCTGTCCTCTTTTCATCCCTTTTATAAAGTCGATGATTTTCGAACAGTATCCCTGAAACTGTTGAAGACACATTTCAGGAAGTCAGTTGAAGAGCTCAAAGTAAATCGTGTCGAGTTTTTGCCAGTTCATTGGCATAGTTCCTTGCATGGAGATGCAACAGGGGTAGATAGGTAGGTCTACTACAGAGAACAGCTGTACCAAAATAATACTCTTTTCTAGTTCTAATACTATTTATCAGTGCTGATGTTGCACTTGAAAAAGGATTGAACACAGTCCCAGAGACAAGGGGTTGGGACTGTTAATGTGCTATAATGTTCATTAAAATCAATGATGAATTTTTCACAAGCTGACTTTCTAGTTATTGTTGCTACATCTTAGGTTTGTTTTTTTTTTAAATAAAGGAACACATGCCATCTTGGGACTGTTTGCTTAAATTGTTAAAATTGTAAACCTACGATGTATATTTTATATCACTTTGTTTTATCTATGTAAAACTGTGTATATTTTAAATTGTTTTTATCATGTATGTTGTGAGCCGCCCAGAGTAGACTATGTCTAGATAAATGCAATAAATAAAATAAATAAATAAGAATCTGCTCTAGCTAAAATTGAACTTAAATTAATTGCCATAAGATTTATTGTTTGTCATATTAACTAGTGTTTTACTGTAATAGAAACACACCTCAGTAAGCCATGCATTCACATGCTTGGAAGCTTTCACTTTCAGTTTTGATTAGCAGCAACTTGTTGCCTGCATTTTAACTTCAACTAAATCTGTGGCTTGTTTGAAGCAACCCAAATTCAAACCATATGTTATGAACCAGATTGATTTCAGCAAGCCATAGTTTGAATACATATAGAATCCATATATAGTATTATATAATAGTGAGTAAGAAATGGGAATGGTGGTTTCACCATAGTTTATCATGACATCTGAATTTAGGTGGTATAGTGCTGTGAATTTTGATATTTGCTTTCCTAGAATGCCAAAGAGTTAAATTGGGCTTGGAATAGCTATGTTCTGCGTGCAATTCAGTCTTTTGGCTGCAGCTTTTTATCTGTAAAATGCAGGTCATAATGACCTCTCTGAAAGCTGTGATGAACTGAATTGATTAAAGGAGTCTTTGGTAGGATTTGTATACCATATTCACAAGTACCTGGGATTGTGGCAAGTTTGTATGTGTGTGCTACATAGCCACATGTCAGACACAGAATGCTATAATGTCCAGTTTTGTGGGCTATGAAATACATACAATAGATCTTTGTCTGTTTTATTCCATACAGCAGGGGTCTCCAAACTTTTCACATGGAGGGCCACATAATATATTTTTGATATTTTCGAGGGCTGAAGGAATGCGCATAAACACACCTGCCCACACTCTTGCCCGCTTGCACTCCTGCCTGCCCGTCCGCACACATGGGCTGGACAAAAAGGCCAGGTAGGCCAGATGTGGCCTGCGGGCTGTATTTTGGAGACCATTGCCATACAGGCATTTATATGTTATGTCTGGTGCACAGGGCGAGGCAACCATTTTGATGTTAATCCTGGAGAGGGTGGTATTAGCATGCAGTTATTTAAACAAACAAATGTTTATTGTATAGTTTATAGCATGAGGTAGAAGACTAATTATTATGCTAGGCTGATATTGTTTTAAAGTCTTGAAGTGTGTGAAGACTTTGTCTGTAATCTTTTCATTTTTCTTGGATTCCTCCTATTTACATAAAGTTTATTAAAAATTACTCTTTTGCTAATTGGTTGATTTTTTTGTTCCCAGGAATATTAAAAAAATAACTTTGCCAACTATTGGACGTCTGCGACACTTCACCAATGAGACTCTGCTTGATATTCTGTTTTACAATAGCCCCACCTACTGTCAAAGGATTGTGGATAAAGTAGGATTGGAGATGAACCGTCTGTATGCACTTTTCATGAGCAGAAATCCTGACTTTAAGGGCGGAATCTCTGTTTCTGGTCATAGTTTAGGTAATCCTATAACTTTAAAACAAATGAAGTTATCTCTTTCAACATAAATGTATGTTTTAATCATGCAACTCTCACTTAGAAAAGTGCTGTAAATTTTCTGAATCTGTTAATCTGTAAATACCCTGTTTCCTCGAAAATAAGACCTAACCTGAAAATAAGCCCTAGTATGATTTTTCAGGATGCTTGTAATATAAGCCCTACCCCCAAAATAAGCCCCAGTTAAGTGAAAACCTGCCCTCCAGGGTTGTGCAGCAACCAGAAGAAGATTACTTGACTGTAAAATAAAGCATCCCCTGAAAATTATACCTATTGCGTTTTTGGAGCAAAAATTAATATAAGACTCTGTCTTATTTTTGGGGAAACACAGTATATTTCCACTTTGTTAGGCAAGGAGAAGATAATCATGGAAGTAAGCATTGTCTATCTCCGTTTAAGTCTACAGAGTCAGAATACCTTGTGACAGCTTGTTTTGTCTCTTCAGGTTCCTTAATATTATTTGACATACTTTCCAACCAAAAAGACTGGGCTTCTACAGTTAATTCTGTGGTACCTGTTGCTACAAATGGTGTTGTAAAGGATATGGCTGAATATGACCAACAGGTATCTGTGCTGAACAAGTATTTTTGTTTTTGTTTTTTAAAGAAATAGTTAAAATATTGAGGACTCAGGTTTTCACCTCCCCCAATACAAGACAAAATCTCCCATAGCCCCCGCAGTTTTACAATCCAATTGTGATGTGAATTGCTATGGAGACACAAAAATGACCCTGGGGCATGTTGCCCCCGCTGCCTTACAGTAACACCATATTTCACCTCATGTCTTTTACAAGCTAAGCATATGCTGTTCTGTGTCTTCTTCTTTTTTTGGCAATGGTAGATTGCTGCTGATGCTAAAGTTGCCATTGATACATTGTTGCACTTGAATTTAAATCTGTCTTCAAAATGTGGGTACCTAATTGTTTAGTTACATTGGTCACAGTATATTTTAAATTGTATCTTAATATATTTTTCTTTCTTTCAAGATGGTAGTGGATTCTAACTCAGCCAGTTCCGCACTTTGTCTTTCATATGATGAAAATGCTGATCATGATGGAGAAGAGGATATTCCAACCTTGGAAAGAACTTTGGAAATGCTTAGCTTGTCTGAGTACATCAGCACATTTGAAAAGGAGAAGATTGACACTGAATCTCTGGTATAGCAAACACTTCAAATTGACATTGAGAAGTAGCAAGAAATGCAGGTGTGAGTGTGGGCAGTGGATGGTGAGATGGGAATATTGAATGGTTTGGGTGTAAAACCAAAAGCCCTGATATATGAATATAAGCCTAAGACTATAATATATGAGAAGTGAATATATGTGTGTGTGTGTGTGTGTGTGTGTGTGTGTGTATACACTTTCACTTCTCAGTTGAAAGCACATATAGATATGTATGTATGCGTGTGCTTCTTCTGTCTCCCTCCAATATCTCTCAGATGGCTTGAGGCCATTTCACACAGAACTTATCTGTGCAGGGCGATCCTCATTGGAATCCCCCCTTATGCAAAGGAGTACTATACATGAACAGCATTGCAGGGGAAGCCAAGTCTTATTGGCATAATTCCAAGAGGCCTTGGGCAGGAACATTGAGACCTCCTGAGCTCTTTGGGAAATGCCTGAAATAGATATGATCCTTGAGGAGAATGTGTATAAATATGGAACTCTGTGCTAGGATTATTAATTTTTTGTAATTCAGTTATTTTCCTTCATTGGATAGTTGTAAAGAACTCTCTTCTTCTGTAAATGTCAGAAGATTAACTTTTATGTCAATTTCTGAATATTACACCTTGAAACAAAACCATTTGTGTGAACACACAATTGACTGATCAAGTCACAGTTTGTGTACTAATGGCACTTGATACTAAAAGATTTCTGCTGACTGTATTCAGTTTAATTCCTGTAGTTTTACAAAGGTTTAATTTGCTCTTTTCTGATATTTTCTTCACTTTCTACCTTTGTTTTGCTTTGTCTTCATTCTCAATCTCTGCTTATACTTGTTCCAAATTTTCCATAGCTTCATAGGATAATCTCCATAGAGAAAATGATTATGTTCACCTTCTCATTTGGTCCCTTTGTTGAAATATGGTGGATGATTTTCCATTCCACTGCTCGGACCCTTCCTCTCCTTTGTGCTTTCTATCTTAGAATGCATAGGACTTTTGATGCAGAACTATGAGTGCATTATTTTCTTTTGCACAGAATGATCATGTACTTTCCTACCCAAGGAGCTTAGACTCTAGAAATTGATTCAAGGTTGGCAAATGGAGGCAAAGTTACATGGTAAAATAATATGCTGCTGTTTCAGTTTCAATTTGTGTTTAGCTATATTGGAGTATTCTTACGTTTTGTCATGTTTATGGGGAGTGATATAATTGTGATTTCAGATGCAGAATAACTCTGTATTTACATCTTTGTAACTAAAATATGTAATTAAAATAAAGTTGTCTGTATTCTATTATATATTACATATATCTTTTTTTTCCAAAGCTGATGTGTACAATTGATGATCTGAAGGAAATGGGAATACCTCTTGGACCACGAAAGAAGATAGCAAACTTTGTCAAAGACAGAGCAGCCAAACAGGTGGGGAATTGTTGATTTGCTAGCCTCAGTTACCTCTTAAATCCTTGTTTTCCAGCAATGATGGCTGATTTCTACCAAGCAAGTGAAAAAACAAAAGACTGATATCCTGATAGTATTTTGTTGTTCTTATCTTTTGGAAGAACTTTCCCCATATTTAATATAGATTATATCTTAGCTTCAATTTCTAACAGGAGATACTTGCTTAAAATTTTATGGATAATGGTAAGGGAGACGTGTGCAGGTTTCGCAAAAATGGAGCATGATGCTGAAAAAAATTAGCAACCACTGCTATAAACAAGATGCAAGTGATTCTGAACACTATTATAATTAATTGTGAATTGGAATTCTTTTATTTCTGAAAGGGGCAGTATTCCATCTAAACGGGCAGTCCTCAGCTTATGATGTCAGATTGAATAATACTATTAGATTTAGAAGTGTCATCCACTCATCTTATTTGCTATGTCAGGTGCAACTCTCTTTGGGGAAAAAATGAAGTTGCCACAATTATCAGTACAGTAACAATACTTAGAGTAGATAACAAGAATGAGTTATATATACCTTTTCTATGACAGTTACTTACAACTTTCTTTGAAAAAAACAGTTGTTACCCTAAATGTATTATATGCTACTTACTGGCATTGTGAAATGGATCATATTTTGCCTTTTCTTATATTCTTTCCAGTTTGTTTCTGAGAACAATGCAAAATGCTTGTTCAGAATATGAAGTACCGAATGGTGTAGGACAAGCATATCATGAAGAAATTAATGTCTGTTCCTAATTTGTATGTTAATTTCTTCAACCGAAGCAGTGTTTAAGATGTCACCATCTTCTAGAAGGGGAAGGAACACTGAAATACAGGGTTTCCTTTAAGAAGGCAATACCCATTTTGTGATTCGCCCTCCCCACAGAAATTTGTCAAGCACCTTGTTTTGCTTTGCTTTAGGCACCTAGTCTACACTATGTTGTTCACACACGCAGTTACTAGAATTTGACATTGGATTTAATCTGTAATTTTATGTAGCCAAATATAATGCCTTATTAAATGGTTGTAAAATTCTTTAAATAGGATGAATTAGAGGTTGATAATTTTGATTTTCTTGAGCCTTTTAAACCTTTGTATTAATAGGAACAGAGGAAAGTTGCGCTGGAGAAAAAGGCAGCAATGGATGCCCTTAAAAGGAACCAGGAAGAATCGGCAAAAAAGGTGGCCAATTTTACAGCACCTTCAGAGCCTAGTATGCCTCAGGATAAATCCAAGAAAAGACTTCCAGTTGGAGCTTCAGTTTTGTCTGCACATATAGATTATGAATATTTTGATGTGGGTACTGGGCAGGTAAGATCGATGTAAATTGAAGCATTCCACTTTATTGCTAGCTGTTGAAACTGCTTGTTAAATTGCACTATTTGTGTAGCTTACGTGATGATACGGTAAGCCTGGCCAGTACCAATGGATAAAGGGATGGGATATTGGCCCAGATAACAGTGGATGTTGAAATACAAATGGGAATAATGTGCACTTTCTATGATAACTTCTTTTTTAAAAAAGATGTTTTCGTTTGACAAGTTTTGTTGATTTCATAAAAACTCTGTTGTATCTATGATATGAGTCATGTTCATAAAGTGGAACAGGTCATATATACGGGAATTGTTAGCTATCTTCTGATTTTTCTTCTTCTAGGTGTCGGTGGTATACAGTGCACTTGACTTTGAGCCAGAGATTTTCTTTGCTCTGGGTTCTCCAATCGGTGTATTTCTGACTGTAAGAGGAGTGGAAAAAATTGATGAAAACTACAAGCTCCCCACCTGCAAGGGATTCTTCAACATTTATCATCCAGTTAGTAAGAAGTACAAGGCTTCAGTCACCCTCAGGGAAAAGATAATAGACAGACTGCCAATTTAAGTCCTAATTGTGCTTTTTAAGAAGCTTAAGGAAGCAATTTCTTAGACTTAAACGTGATTTTTAGTACTTTCCAGGTACTGCTGCAAGAACATCTATCTATTTAAGAGTTCCAAGCACTGATTTGTTTAATATCCTGCATTTCAGTAGAACTTCATTGTGTTGAAACTCTGCAATGGGTTGTAGTTGCTCTTTATGGAAGAGTGGCTGGATCTTGTTTTGGAAATAAGTACCCTATCACCTTGTTATTTCCAGCTGTTTGCTTCCAATTTGTTGCTAGGGAATTGAGGTGACTTTTTCAAGATTTCAGTACTGTTTATCATCCTGTTTAGCTCAGGATTCTATCTGCAAACCTTTTATATGCCAAGAGAACGATGCTGTGCTCCATGTGTCTACCAAAGACTGCCCCACTCAGTTGCATATTGAATGAAATCCTGAGAGCATTTCCTATATGTTTAAAGGAGTGAAGCTTCTCACTGTGTACACAATGTTCTGTTTAGTTCATGTGAGCCTTATATAGACAACGGAGTTACTGAATTAGAATTTATATTCCACTGTATAGCTGAACAGTTAGGGTTTTTTTACTATTTATTTATTTATTTATTCATTCATTTATGTATGTATGTATGTATTTATTTATATCCTGCCTATCTAGTCAATTAAGACCACTCTAGGCAGCTATAAATTTAAGAGTTTATTAGTAACTAAATAATACGTCAGTTACTGGAAATCTGCATGCACTATACCATGCATGCCCAACTTTAGACCAATAATATATATGAATTACAAGTTTAGTATGAGCAAATAGAAGAGCTCAACATATAATGTTTAACTTTGAATGATAGACCTTCCTGCTGTATCATAGTTTTTCCCAAGTCCATTCAGTTCCAAGATCTGTTTGTTTCTTGGATTTGGGGTGGTTTATGTTGGAACAATGAATGATCTTTTGATTTATTAAACTAATGGTGGCGTTTGTAGTGTTTGTAGACATTTGATATTAAGAATTACAATTACTGTGTCTGTCTTCTCCCTTCTAGCTTGATCCAGTGGCTTACAGGCTAGAACCTATGATTATTCCTGACTTCAGCATAAAACCAGTTCTGATTCCACATCACAAAGGCAGAAAGAGACTTCACCTTGGTAAACAAGTGTACTCAGATATTTCCATTACTTGTATATATAAGTAATATATACGTCTGTGATATACAAAGAAGAAGCTCATCTAGACAAGACAGCATGAGCACATGCTTGGAAATAAAAATCCATGTAATGCAATTTGTATATACACAGGAGCTCATTGAACCTTAGAGAAAGATTACTTTTAGTGTAGTGGTCCCCAACCTTTTTAGCTCTGTGGACCAGCTGGGGAAGGTGGGGCACCACCTGCGCTCATGCGCATGCGCAAAGGAATGTTTTCGGACACATGTGCTTGTGCACATGTGCAAAGGAGCCGGGGCGCTAATGCAGGCGTGCGTGTGCAGGCGCAAATGGGCTATGCAGGGGGGAGTGCGTGCAGTGGTGGGGTGGGGAGGTGTCTCTCCACGGCCTGGTCCGGCTCAGGCCACGGACCGGCACCGGGCCATGGACCGGGGCTTGGGGACGTCTGTTTTAAGGCCATTACAACCTTCATTCTTCAGTATAGTGGATAGAAGTGTTATTGTGTTTCCTTATACACTCATGTATGCCTGTATTTCATGCTTTACCCTAGAGTCACCATCGGAAACATGCAACTAAGCTTGCAAAATCTTTGGGAACTGTACCCATTTCCACCCATGGCCCAGCTCATTATGCATAGCCTGCTATCCTGGCACTGTGATTAGTGACACGAGGACACAAATTTTACTGAGAATTGTTGGGATATATGCATATAGGCTTTCACTTCGGCCAGCCTTTCCAGTGATTTGGACACCTTTGAGATTGCTGTTTATTTTTAGTTAGTTACATGGGACATGGGATCACAGTGGTGGCAGAGACTTTCACCTCTGTCTTCCATCAACCTTTTGCAGTTAAGATCATGGGATGACAGGGGAGACCATAACAGTTTAGGTCATTTGGACATTTTGAGTAATTTTGAGTAGCTGACTTTACTCTCACAGAAAGAGAAAGTATATCTGCAAATCTTGTCCCTTTTTATAAAGGGTCCTCCTTTATAAAAAGAAAAGCTGCAAATTTAAATGTACCTAGTATAGAAATGTCTGTACCAAGTTGTCTGAATTTGGCAGGTTTCATATATTCAGAAGAGACTATTATGTAGTAAATTTCATTCAGTTCTGTCAAAATAAAAGACTTACAGACATTTCTTCTCCCATGGGAAAATATGCTGGTTTGGAGCAAGATGAAGCAGATTATGCCTGAAAATAACCTTTGGTCTGAAGCACTGAAGCATGGTCTTAATCAAATCTTATCTTCACTAAATATACCATTCGTAAAGGAGATAGCATGTGCTAAACTTTTTACTGGCAAGGATTTCTTTCTAAAACTGCAGTTTAGGGAAGAGGTCTCTCAATGCAAAGCATTGCAAAGGAGAGATCTAGGATGATTGAAGGACCTTAGCTTTCTTGCTGTGAATGGTGAGTGCTTGGTGAAAAGATGGAGAGCTATGCGCAGAGTCTGGGTACAGGTATACACCCTTAAAAATGCCTATGATTGTTAATGTGTTTTACCATTGGTAGTAGTTCATTGGTTGGTGCTGCATGCAGCTATGTTATGAACCTAGAAGGCAGTAAGGCAGTATGTATATTCTGGGTGATTCAGTGCTCTTTTCACAAACGGTGGGAATTGTTCCTGTTCTACTTGCTAAAGGAAGACAGGCAGTGTATATCTGGTTTGTTGCCAAAGTTTACTTTGCATTCTTTTCCCAAATAAAATGGAAGTACACTAATGGCTGCCTCTCATCCTCTCGGTAACAGCAGGACATAGCATGATGCTACTTAGAGTATATTTTATTGATGCTTTTTGCTTGGTTTTGGTTGTGTTTGGGCAAGCCTGTAATCTCTGTTGTTAGTAGTGATATGTTCCATATGGTTGCAATTCACAGGCAAGTTCCTGTTACAAATGTATCAGTTGACATTTTATATACAGTACTGCCAGATGCTTCAGTTGAATTACATACAGTATTTTGGTAACATGCAATACAAGATATTAATGTTATTGGCTTGTTTCATGTATGGTAATAAACAGGTAACTTTTGAAAAGTATTAATAGCCGTTTTGTAGCCATACTACTGTTGCAAATCTAGTGATGATTAAATTCTAGCAACTGACTCTCTTTTTGATAACTTTAGTGAGAAAGTATTTTAAACTCTCCTTTTGATCTGACAGTCTCAAGATGATTTTAGAACTTTGAAAAAAATGCCTCAACCTTTAAGGTGGTAGGATTGCTTATTTCTCAGCAGATATTTTATTCCATGTTTTTTCTAAGTGTTTCCTCCAAACTTTTAAAATAAATTCACATCTCTTGAATAACATGTCATTACAGTGTTATGGCTTTATTTGTTTGTTTGTTTGTCAGAGTTGAAGGATTCTCTGTCTCGTATGGGATCAGATTTGAAGCAAGGTTTTATCAGCTCGTTGAAAAGTGCTTGGCAAACCCTTAATGAATTTGCACGTGCTCATACCTCATCTACTCAGCTCCAAGCAGAACTGGAGAAAGTGGCTCATCAAATTAAAGAGGAAGAAGAAAAAAATGAAGCAGAAGGTTAGTTGATGCACTTTGATATTTTAAAAAGTGTTGTGTTTTGGGTTTTTTTCTTTAAACATTACTAAAATGAGAGTACATGGTAATAATTTGCACATCAAGTATTCTGAACTTTTTTTAGTCAGATATAATTGTGTTTACTACCTTCCCAAGCATCATGTAATGAAGTATTTCATTACAAGAAATGATTATTGTCACTTTCTGGGAGATTAATATCAGTAGAAGATGGCAAGCAGTTTCCTTGCTTCAACTTGTTTGTGGTGCATATTGCTTACCAATGCTTCCCCTGCCAGAATCATCAGTTGGAAATAATATACTTTTATTAGTTAAGAGGTAAAGGCATATGTTCATTGTGTCCAATACGATGTTTGACTTTTGGCACTGAACAGAAAACTCCACCATGCTGTATCACAAATTGCTTTTGAACGTCTCTTTTGTTTTCCAGAGTGGTTTACCAAATTGTATGAATTTTACCAAATTGCTGTTTGAGAAATCCAATTCTAGGGATCCTTTCCATGTCTGGAATAGTTTAGTTTGGATTTCCGTATTCAGATTATTTATTTTATTTTATTTAGGGGAGAAAATATAAATATTGCTTTATTTGTGACTAATGACTCTAATCCTGTTGAGCAATTAGATGAACAGCAAAACTTTTGGAGGCAAATTGCTGAAAACTAAGAAATCTCCATAGGCATTATCTATTGCTTACAGAGCCACACAACTAAGTGTGCAACGGATAGCTTAAGACAATTTACATCTAAAATTTATGCATTTGTATAGCTGCTCAACAGAATTTCAGCCAATGTAATAAAATCCCAGTCAAATATCTATTTGTATTTTTTTATTTAATGCCTCCAAATTTCCAAGTCTAGTGTCTTGGTTGCTATTATGTATATTTAGAAAAACAAAAACATATGGCTGTAACAGGTCTGACCACATGCTAATAGGTTTGACATTTTCTTGTAGTCAAGAAAACAGAAAAGTAGAATCAGTAACTGAAAGAAGGTTCAAATTGTAATGTATTTTTTACATTCTTTCTTTGTACTGTAGCAGAAAAGATTGTTGAGAGTCCAGATTTTTCAAAAGATGAAGACTTGAATGTAAAAGTTGGTTTGCTAAACGGAGGCCGGCGTATTGATTATGTTCTGCAAGAAAAACCCATAGAAAGTTTCAATGAATACTTGTTTGCTCTACAGAGCCACTTGTGCTATTGGTAAGATTTTTTTAAAAATCTCCTCTGACACAAAGTGTAACTTTGGTTCCCTCATTTAATTATATTTTAACTGCTTCTTGGTGGTCTTGTATGGAACTTAAAAAGCTTCTTCTAGCTGTAATTTGCCCTGTAGATTAAGAAAGTTATTAAGAAATATACATTATATGGATACGCAATAAGAGAATTTGTTAACAATTGTGTCCGAGTCTTACTGTTGCATAAGGGCAATCACAGAAGCACTCCCTGACTCCTGCAGCAGGCTCTCCTTCATCTGGCTAATTGATTGGGGAGACATGCGAAGAGTAGTTCATAGTAGTTAACTCTGTTTTCTCAGGTGGGTTTTGGCCTGATTGTCTTTTGTTCACAGAAAATTAAGGCTTTTGACAAAATCCCTTACGATATTCTATCAGCCAAGCTGGTGAAAAGTGGGTTAGATGATGTTACTGTCAAGTGGATTTGTAGGTGGCTGACAGGCCATACTTGAAAGAGTGTTCACCAATGGTTCCTCCTCATCCTGGAGAGAAGTGATAAGTGGGGTGACACAGGGTTCTGTCCTGGGTCCAGCACTATTCAGCAGTTTTATAAATGACTTGAATGAGGAGGTGGAGGAGATGTTCATGAAATTTGCTTTTGACACCAAAATGGGAGAGATAGCCAACATTCCAGAAGATAGAATCAGGATTCGAGACAGCCTAATTGGAGTATTGGGCCAAAACTAACAAAATTAGTTTCAGCAGGGAAAAATGTAAAGTTTTACTGCCAGTCAGGAACAACCAGCTGAAAAAATATATGACAGTTGGCTTGGTAGTAGTACACATGAAAAGGATCAAGGGTTCTTAATGGGCTGTAAGCTTAATATGAGTCAACAGTGTGATGTGGTAGCAAAAAATGTAGTAATTAGTTACAACAGTAGAAGTACAGCATAGAAGATCAAAGGAAGTAATGTATCACTCCATTTTGCTTTGGTAAGACTTTACCTGGAATAATGTATCCATAGTATAAGATGGATATTGACAAACTGGAACATGTCTGAAGGAGGACAACCAGAATGGGAAACAAAATCCTATGAGGATCAGCTGAGGAAGCTGAATTGTTTAATGTAGAGAGAATAACATGGAAGATGAAGCAGATTTGTTCACTGTAGCTCCAAAGAGTAGGACTCAAAGTAATGGACTAAAATTATGAGAAAAGCGATTTTGTGTAAACATTAGAAAGAACTTCTTGGCAGTAAGAGATGGTGGTGGACTCTTCATTGGAGGTTTTAAACAGAAAGAAGATGGTCATCTGTCAGGGATACTTTAGTTATACAGTGGTGTCTCAACTTATGAACTTAATCCGTTCCAGAAGATGGGCGAAAGTCGAAATGGTCATAAGTCGAAGCACCATTTCCCATTGAAATGCAATTGATCCATTTCGGCTGAAGAAAAAAAACACACGCAAAATCACTGCAAGACCCATTGGAAAGGGCTGCTGTCCTTCTGCAGTGTTGGCACATGCAAAATCTAAATGTGAAGTGCCAAGAGTTGGAGTCTGGGCAGACAACTGAAGTGTGCAAATGCTGGTGTGGCACAGATTTTGGCAGGGTTCTGCAGATCTGGGCTCTCTGTACCAGTGTGGTTCAGTGGATAAAAGGTATACTTGAAATTTTGTCTATGATTATGGTAATATTTTCTGTGGATCTAAAAGAGATCTGTTCAAGAAAATTGGACATATTAAAGGAACATTTTGTTCAAAGATGGACATGATAAAGTACAAAAATGGCAGGGACTTCACAGAAGCAGAAGACATCAAGAAGAGGTGGCAAGAAAAATACACAAAGGAATTATACCAGAAAGATCTGGATGTCCCGGACAACCCAGATAATGTGGCTGCTGACCTTGAGCCAGACATCCTGGAAAGTGAAGTCAAGTGGGCCTTAGAAAGCATGGCTAACAACAAGGCCAAAGGTGTTGATGGCATTCCATTTGAACTATTTAAAATCTTAAAAGATGACACTGTTAAGGTGCTACATTCAATATGCCAGCAAGTTTGGAAAACTCAGCAGTGGGCAAAGGATTGGAAAAGATCAGCCTACATCGCAATCCCAGAGAAGGGTAGTGCTAAAGAATGCTCCAACTACCGTACAGTTGCACTCATTTCACACGCTAGCAAG